CTTTCTAATGAGAAAAGCCCTAGAGCCTCAAGTCTTTCCTCATATGTTTTCCCCCTCTGGCCTTCAACCATTCTGGTGGCCAAGCTCTGCACTTTCGCTAAACAGGCAGCATCCTTCTTGAATAAGGGTGCCCAATCCTGTACAAGATACTCTATGTCTGGTCTGACTATGGCCTTGTAAACGGGGATGAAGACTTCCGGTCTTCTGCATGTTAAAACCGACCGTAGTTTAAATAGTTCCCTAAGGGGGAACTATATCATGACCCCCAAGTCCTTAGCCCTAGTAGCGGGTTCGATGGCAAATTCGTCTACTTCAGAGTGAACTACCATTCTGTCAAGTGCCCCTGTAAGCACATGACTCTTGAAAGCGTTAGGACTTAGGTCAGGTCAGGTTGCACTGGACTGATAGTGGCCACAGGCCAATCAAGCGTCCAGAATTCCTTCGGTGGTGTGCTCACGAGTGTGCGTCCACCTCTGCGATTGACCGGTTTCTCTTTCTATCTGCAAACAGAGAGAGACTCTACTTCTCGCCGTCTCGGCGAGAGACTCTTGTAGTGAAAGCGTTCTATATTACATAAAAACAATTATTGCACCTAACATTATATGTCAAGAAAGACCTCCAACCATCTGGCGTCCAGGGCTCTTTTAAAGGTTTGGACGTTTGGCTGCATAATCAGTTCTGACATTAGTTTATTTCAATTTTCGTCTACCATACTTCCAAAGAAATGTGCTCGTAAGTTCGATCTAGAACGCTGTTTCATAAGTTTGAGCTCATTTTCACGCGTTCCTTGGTGGGCAGCCTCAGTGAAGAAGGACTCCGGATCTAAACCCATCAAATGTTTCTTAATCTTAAATACTTCGATGAGGTCTCCGCGCAATCTCCTTTTGCTAGCGATAAAGACCGAGCGCGTACAACCTTCCTTTTTATGTTTTACCCCGCATACCCTCAACCATCCGTGTTGCTAGTCTCTGGACCTTCTCCAGACAGGCTGCATCCTTTTTATACAAGGGCGACCAAGCCTGAATACAGTATTCTAGGTTAGGCCTTACGATGGCTTTGTAGATGGGTATAAATACGTCTGCTTTCTTACACGAAACTGCTGACCTTAGTCGAGACAGCTGTCGTCTTGCCATGTGTGCTGAAGCTTCACACTGGGTACTCCAACTGTAATCTGCAGTTACGATGACTCCTAGATCCCTGGTACTGGTTACAGTGCCTACTTTGAACTGCCCCCAGTCACCGAGAGCCTCTAATGGTCTCCCGGTTCTAGAGAGCAACTGGCTCTGTTGCATTTAGTGGCAGATCCCATGTGTGGGACCATTTGAACACCGTTGCAATATCCTCCTCTAAGTCGGCTCTTCCGCTAAATCCAACCACCTTTACATCATCAGCGAAGATGAAGCAAGGTGAGCTGGTAATTTCTGCTAGATCA